AGAAAAGGTCAGCTTTCAGAGAAGTTTGAGGGACTTTGCTGGCACTGTAACAAACCTGGGCACAAGAGAGCCCAATGCTGGAAACTTCAACACAGGGGAGACGATACAGCAGAAAAGTTGTTGGAACTGTGGAAAGCACGGACATTTGAGGAGCCAGTGTAGGAAGAATATTACCAACAAATCGGCCTCAAGGAGACCAGTAGTAGTTGGTGTTGAGGGACACTCACCAACTCCCATCGTGAAAGTCCCTACAGCTAGGTGTAAAATGCCAAGCACACACAGTGTCTATGTAACAGGAAAGCTAGATGGCCAAAGGTGCAACATTGTCATAGACTCTGTGTCTCAGCAAATCCTTGTGAGCGTCAAGGTGTTAAATCACGAAGGAGTACCAGAAGCCACACAGAATCTTTGTGGTGTGACAGAACATTCTGCAAGATTGTGGGGACCAGTGTGCGTAACTATTGAGCTCATGGGCATAAAGGACAAACAGAAAGTATACTTGGCTGACATGGAAGACGAATGCATATTAGGATTGGACTATCTACTACCAAGGAAGTTTGTAATTGATTTTGATAAAATGACGTTTGGGAATAACAAAGGCCAAGTTCCGGTAACTGTTAAAAGAGAGGTTGAGTTGATTGCGTGCCATCGGGCTGAAGTCAAGCCGGCTGAAAGAGTTGATGATGGTGAAGTGGAACCAAATATAGATATCAGGACAGAACAGGAGAGGGACCAGGATTTGAAGCCAATGATTGATTTTTTAAAAGCAAGTGTTTTGCACCCTGCTTGGGAGAAGGTGTCTAGTCTAAGCACTGTGACAAAGAACTATTGGGCACAATGGGACCAGTTGAAACTTGAAGATGGTATTCTTCTCCGAAGATGGGAAACTGCAGATGGGAAAGTGACGACCTGGCAAACGATTATACCGAGAAAGTTACGGGAAGCTGTGTTGCGTCAATCCCATGATACTGTAACAGGAGGACATCTCGGAGTTAAGAAAACATTGAGTCACCTACGACACAGATTTTACTGGATAGGTATGAGACAAGATGTGGAAGAATGGTGCAGAACATGCAGTACATGTTGTGCTAAAAGGGGACCCAATCGTAAGGGTAGTGCTCCAATGAAGTTATATCAAGTTGGTGCACCAATGAAAAAAGTAGCTTTTGACATTGCTGGTCCTCTGCCCCCAAACTCGTGCTGGAAACAAGTATATTTGTGTGGTGATGGATTATTTCACCAAGTGGCCTGATGCATATA